TTTCCCGACAGCCGCTCCGGGGTCCCCGCGCGCCGAGCCGAGCTCTCCGTCTGCGCCCGGAGGTCGCCGTCCGCGCAGCGCCATGGGCACCCAGCAGATCGTCCTTCAGGGCCCGGGACCCTGGGGCTTCCGCCTGGTGGGCGGCAAAGACTTCGAGCAGCCTCTCGCCATTTCTCGGGTAAGAGCCGACCGGGACGCGCGTGGGAGCGGGGCGGGGGACCCGGGCACGGGGGGCTCGGCGGGCGCAGTCGGGGCGCCGTGGGGCCTGGACCACGGGGTGCCAGGTGCGCAGCGCGGAGCGCTCCCCGCCGCCGCCGCCGCCGCCGGTCCCTTCGGTCGCGCCGGGCGGGCGGGCGGAGGGTGCGCCGCAGCCCCGGGCGGTTTGCTTTCTTAGCCCCGGAAGCGCGTCGCGGCGAGGGGACGCGCTTTGTCCCCGGTCTGGGGAGGACGGTCTCCGCCGGGGCCGCGCGCTGCGGGACGGCCCTTCCCTGCAAATCGCGGCAGCGGGAGAGTCCGGGGGAAAAGCTGGCGTGAAGTTCACGGGAGGGCGCGTTACCAGTCCCTTAAAAATACCAGTGAGACGGTTTCCCCCTTTGAACTCTTCCCCGGTAGCCTTATCTCAGCTCCTCATGCGGGGTGGGGGTGCGTGAAATAAACCCTAAGAGGCCCTTTCGTCTTTACCTTCTCCCTGCGAAAAGTGGCCGTGCCATCTTTCTGCCGGCATTCCCAGGTCACCACGCCGGCCCGTTGCTTACGGGGCGATGGGTCGCGCGGGGGTTCCCGCCCTGTGCGCGGTGGTGATGCCTGGTAACTTTTAGCTCCTCAGACGGCGTTTCGTCGAAGACTGCGAGACCGCTAGCCCTACGTTAAACGGAAGCTCCCAGGCAGACGCAGGGTCAGGGTTTGGAGGCCCAGGCTTTGGCGGGTGTAGTCTGGGCCGGGCACAAGGCTGCTGACCCACCGAGGCGCACCGCGTTCGGCGCCTGTGGCTGGGAGGCGGAAGCCGTCTTCTGAATGAATAAATGGGAGTAAAGGAGCACACCTGGGCCACGGACCTGTGACCCCTAGAGGCAGCACGTCTCATTCTCGAGACCATGCTGGGGTGAAGCGTGTCTCCTCACGCTTCTACATCGTCCTCTTTCTTTCTTTCTTTCTTTCTTTCTTTCTTTCTTTCTTTCTTTCTTTCTTTCTTTCTTTCTTTTTTTTTAATCTGGGATGTTGGGGAAAGAGTTGAGGTGGAAAGAATCCCAAGGATCCTGAGTTAAGTGAGTTAAGGCTGTCCTTCAGCAGCAGGAGGCGTTGGGTGGGAGGTGTAGAAGGAGAAGAATGGGGACCTCCTCTTGGCTGTTGTGCCAGCTACAGTGCACCCCACACTTTCTGCCAGGTAGGGTTGGCCCAGGGAGGAGATCTCTGACCGTCCCACCCTAAAGGAGCAGGGAGTCCAGGCTTGTGGCCCCATCTTCCGCCTTGTTCCACAGAGGTATCTTGGATTATTTCCAGAACTTCACATGGGCTTCCCAGGCTGCAGCAAGATTCCTCAAGCTCAGAAAATGTGCCTTAGCACATCTAGACTCCTGTCCCAAGCCTGGCACAGAACTGCACCTGGCTGTAGGTTGTAAATCCCTGCAGGCTGATTAATAAATGCTTGTCCAAGGAGGCCGTTGGCTTTGCACATTGAGACTCCATTACCTCATAGGCCATTTGTCCCCGCTTTTTGTGTTTATAATTAACATGTCAGCCCTCTCTACTTCTGAGATTTATAGATGACATGAAACTTCCTTTTAAAGCTATTGGCAATCTATAAAAAGGGCAGTTACTGCCAGCCACTTTGGCTGCTTTTAGAAGTCAATGTAAATTGCACTGTAGGAATGATGGTATGGGTGGTAATGACCCCACTGTGAAGTCGTTCTTTTGTACCTTCATGTGTTGATTAATTATTTATTTATACTATATACACATGTTTTGAGCACCTATCATAGGGCAGAAACTACTCTAAACAGCTCCATTCACAAAGTGGTTGTGGTCTTAGTAAGGGAAACTAACCCAATACCTTTGGTAAGTGCTTTAATTAAAAAGTGAAAGTGACTCAGAGGTGACATTCTCATGCTGACAATAATTTCTTCATCTCATTATTTACACAATGACAAAAATGTGAGCCTGTTTACGTCTTGGGAATGAGACAGTCATTGTCATAAAGGGAACATGGGATGGCGATCTAAGATCTAGTTCTGATCTGGTGTCTGGTTCTTATTTGATTTGTTTACAGAAGAACGTTCTATTGTCTGAAGCTACTGTACCTGTTTTTTTTAAGCCTCTGTAACAGGGATAATACCAGCTCTTGCCTGCCAGTTAAGGTCTGTGAGAGTGCTATGCAAACAGGGAAAACAGACGAGGAGGTGTGAGCACTGAGGATGAGCCGCACATACCTTCTGGGTGATGGGTGTGCTGCCTATTCTGGGCAGGGAGTTGGCTGGCTTGGCTTTGTATCTGTAGACCTGGAGTCTCCACACCAAGGTGCACCAGAAAATTGGGCTGGAAGAGGAATGCCTGGTACTGAAACAGCTGTGTTTGCTTTCTTTTGCATGAATTACTCTGGCCTTCGCTTAATTCTTTTGTTAAACTGCCAAGGCTTTTGATTGTAACCCTTCAATCTTACTTATTTCAATATTTTCTTTGTCTACCTTATTTTTACTGTGAAACAAGAAAGTCATAACATTTAAATGTGTTGCAAATGATTGTAAAGCAAATGCCTGGGAAGCCACCGCCCCGGTCAAGAAATGGAACCCTGGTAGCACCCACAGGCTGGACGGTGTGGCCCTGTCGTGACTTTGGGCAACAGCTCCCTTGCTTTCCTTCATAGTTTCAGCACCTAAATAGGTGTTCCGAACACCTAGCTTAATGTTGCCTGTTAAACACACCTGTGTGGGACATATTTATATGTGTGTGTGTGCGTTCTTGTGTGTGCTGATTGCTTCTTTAGTGCTTATTATTTTCTCTGTGTTATTGTGAGAAACTGAAATCATTGCCCAGATTGCCCAACTTCGAGTGGCCATAACCTAGCCCCCTGCCTTGGACTCTCGTCTGATCCAGCCCAGCCTTTGCTATGGTTCCCTAGATTTTTTCCTGTCAGTGCCTTCTCCAACCACACAATTGTCAGTCTCCTTGAATTTTTTCTTTTTCCAAATGTAATTTCTTATTTCCTTTAGTAGCTTTCCCAGTATCCACACCCAGGCCTGTGCTGAGGCTGAGTTTGTTGACTGTTTTTCTCTCCCAGCAACTGACAAAAGACAGGAAGGGGAGGGGCCAGAGATAAGGGGATGCTCCTAGTTGGGGGTGCTGCTGATTTGCCTTTTGAGTCCAGCTGGAATCCTTGGGCTAGTGGTTTCTCCACGGGTCTAGGGTGCTTAAATGGTATACTGTAGCCAGAGTAGTCTTTCCTGATTTTTAAGAGTAATTTCCAGGTTCAGGTAGATTTTGTAGCAATTCCTGAGGATAAATAGAGCCGGTTTTGTCTGTCAGTTTTGAAAAGCAAGAAATGCCTCAGAAACACTTGTGTATTAATGGTCCTTGTGCTGTACCCCTTCGTTCTGGGAAACTGACTACCTAGGAAGTAGTACTGGTTCTAGCTGATCTTAGCTGACTCCAGGGAGAAAGAGGAAGAGGAATCGAAGGGAATGACTTGCACTGGATGCCTGAGTCCGCTAGCAGGAAATTTATCGAGCTGCTTTGTCACCCTCTGACTAGATGTCCTCCCTTTGTAACCTGGATACTGGCCTTACTGGTTTGTTTTTGAAGAGGAGAGGGAAGAGTGGCTTGGGGGTACTGCAGCCTGGCAGATGGTCCAGAAGAGAGTGCCAGCTGACCCCTGGGTCACACCAGGACTGGGAGAGACACTGAGGCTCTCTTGCACCCTGGGACCAGGCTGGGGCGGCTTCTAGGCTGTGCGCCTTCTCTGGACCATGCCTTGCCGTACCATGCTGTGGAGGAGAGGAGAGCTGCCATCGTTGGCCTTCTACACATCAGCCAGTCTGTGCCCACCGGTTAGCTGAATTATTTTAATTTTTATAATTTTCCTTGACTGAACTACTAAACTTCTTTGTAAAGAAGAGGGTCAACAGGTTAAGTATAAGTAGAAGTGGTTTTGGCAGAACATGAATTTTTAAAGGAAAAGGGACTTCTCTGGTCTCAGGGAAGCATTCTAGGAGAGCCTGCCTGCTGGTACCAGGAAGTAGGACCAGACGAGGACTCACGCTGAGCTGCAGTTCTAGGCGCCCCAGGGAGTGACTGTGTGCAAATTAGGTGCCTTGTCTGGTACTTAATTCCCTCGAAGAATAGAGTAAAATGCTAAGCAAATAGTGGTCTTACCCTCTTTTAATTAAGTCTAGTTTTTTCATAGTTACGGTAATCCAGTGTCTTACTGTACTAATTGTACTTTCAACCATAAGTGGGTTGAAAAAATATGCTATCAATGCAGGAATATTTTAAGATGAACTTTTATTAATCACAAGAGTATTCATTTACATGGAAGAAACGTATATGAAAAATATTTATCTGATCGATTTGTGATAATTACACTTAAAACATGTCTAGTACTTTTTACATGCCAGGTTCTGTACTAGCTGTTCAGTGTATTCTCTCAGTGATATTCTCTTGCAAGTATATTTAAGGTAGATACAATTAGACCCCCATTTTGCAGATGAGAATACTGAGTAGCAGCATCATACAGTGGTGAGTGGCCACGCCGAGTGACTCCCAGGCCAGCTTTAACTGCTCTCTTCTGCTGGCTGAGAAGTCTCAGCTGTGGGCATTCCGTTGCTAGCAGCGTCACCCAGGTTACTTCTCTAGAAAGTGCTAATGGTGATGC